CTCGGTTGCCTTACACTTTAGTAAAAAAGCATTTTCCCCCTACTTTCCCCCCTATTGACACCAAATGAGGTGTCAGAATCTTATGGGTTTATAAAAAAGGATACATGCCTTCAACAGAAAGTCAAGGGTATTTAAGGAAAATTGAAATTCCTTACGTTTCTGAAGCCAATGAAAAGCTGCCAACTCAGCTATTCCTTGGTATTTTCCCGTAAGTGATGTTGCAGCCGATAATTACTTTGTTTCGAAAATTTAACATCATGTAAGGTGAATTTAAGTCGAATTTCTAAGCAATTTGACCGGAAGACATTGTTAAATTATAACACAAAACTTAGGTCGTCTGTCTAGTTAAAACATCATAACCCAATAAAACTACCCCCACGTCGAGAAGAGAAAAATCTCCATGACGAGAATAACCCTACCATTAATTTTTAATGACATATTTTCCTTTATGGAAACGTGGCGCTACAATTTGATTGGTCAACAAACAGGGGGAATAACGTCATTTTAATTTTTTTTCTATTAGTCAGTCCACTTCAATTTTATAAAAAAAAAGAGCAGTAACATAGGAAATGGAGATGAGAAGCTGTTTATTTTCTCAGAACTCTCACCTTCTCACTTAAAAAATACCCATGAAAACAAAAAATCTAATTTAGATTATTATTATTATTTTTTCATTTTGGAAGATAAATCTGAAAGACTCAGTTCATTTCCCTAGATCTATGGAATATTGACTTGGTAAGGCTTTTTATTTGGGTTTTAGTTTAACTTCATTTTAGCTGAAAATTTTGTCTTGGTTTCTCCTGAATCCGATCTTTATCTGCCTCTATTCTCACTGTTTCATATGTTTGTTTTTTTTAAAGTTATTTTAGTTTGATGTTAATCATTGAAAGATTTGTTGCAAGATCCTTTATATTTAAATGATAATAGATAGTGAGTGTTTAATTTCTTTTCAAACAAAAAAAAATATATTTTTACTAATGTTCATGCTTTTGATATTTTTGCTTATTTACTGGGAAATTTTTTGAATGAAAGTTAAGGAAGAAAATGGAAGAGAGTCTATCTTTTTGTTCATGATTTTCTGATATTAATTTAACTTTCATTTCTCTAAATTTTTTAATAAACCCTACGTTTTGTTGTTTGTACTTATATTTGAAAGCGTAGGAAAATATGTTGTACTTTTATTTTCTTCCAAACTTATGATGATCTATCGTGTTTGTTAAGTACCTTCATATTAAATTCGCTTTTGTTCTAAATATATTTTTAATTTTCCACTATATATTTTGGTTGACATGTTCTTGATAATTACTGACTTGGCTTACGCTGTTGTTTTCTTATAATCCAGTAATATCTTATGGGATATTTGATGATATGTATATATATATAAATATATGAAACTAACTTTATCCATATGTTGATTCTAATCTTTTAAAATCTCAGTTGGATTCTTATGAAATGAAAGCATGTGCTGTGGATCGAAGCGTTTAAATCTGAAGCTGTCTCCTATAACATCAAATTCTTTCTTTCAGAAGATAGCAGACATCCTAGTGTAGGTATGAATCTCTTGACTGTAGTGACTGAAGATACTTTTGCAAGCTTGCTTGAGCTTGCTGCTAACAACGATGTTGAGGGCTTTAAACGATGGATTGAGCATGATCCTTTCGGTGTTGATGAGGTTGGATTATGGTATGGTCGTCAAAAAGGGTCGAAACAGATGGTTAATGAGGAGAGAACTCCATTGATGGTTGCTTCTACGTATGGTAGCATTGATGTTATTAAGCTGATCCTTTCATCTTCGGATGCTGATGTTAACCGCGTGTGTGGTCGTGACAAAAGCACTGCCCTTCATTGTGCTGCCTCGGGTGGGGCTGTTAATGTTATTGATGTTGTGAAGCTGCTTTTAGTTGCCGGTGCTGATGTAAATATGGTTGATGCAAATGGTCATCTTCCTGTTGATGTTATTGTTCCTCCAAAGCTTCAAGCCGTGAAATTAACTCTTGAAGAACTCCTTGCAACGGAGAATTCCGGGATTGATCGGGATTCAAGGGTGTTAGTCGTTGAGAATTCAGGCTCCCCTCCTCTATCTCCATCGCAGGAAGATGGTTTATTGTCATCTGGTTCAGATTCCCCCATGAAGTCAAGGCCAAGTGATGTTCCTATTTCTTCAGCGTCGGAGAAGAAAGAATACACAATTGATCCATCTCTTCCAGACATCAAGAATAGCATCTATTCAACTGATGAGTTCCGAATGTATTCATTCAAGGTACGGCCTTGTTCACGTGCCTACTCCCATGATTGGACTGAGTGCCCATTTGTTCACCCTGGAGAGAATGCTCGAAGAAGGGATCCTAGGAAGTTCCATTACAGTTGTGTTCCTTGCCCTGATTTTCGCAAGGGGGCATGTAGGCGAGGAGATATGTGTGAATATGCTCATGGTGTTTTCGAATGCTGGCTACATCCTGCTCAGTATCGGACCCGGCTGTGCAAGGATGGTACAAGTTGTGCCAGGAGAGTCTGCTTCTTTGCTCACACGGCTGAGGAACTCCGGCCTCTTTATGTTTCCACTGGTTCAGCTGTTCCATCTCCTCGATCTAGTACTTCCGGTGCTACAGCTATGGATTTTGCTGCCGCCATGAGTCTCATGCCTGGATCACCTTCATCTGTGTCAGTTATGTCTCCGTCACCGTTCACTCCGCCCATGTCTCCCTCTATGAACGGCATGTCTCATTCTAATGTTGGCTGGCCACAACCTAATGTTCCGGCCCTGCATCTTCCTGGAAGCAACTTTCAATCTAGTCGGCTGAGATCTTCTCTTAATGCGAGAGACATTCAAGCTGAAGACTTCAACTTGCTGTCTGATTTTGATGTGCAGCAACATCAGTTGATGAACGAGTTATCTGGCCTTAATCAGCCATCAATGAGTTCAAGTTCTCTTAACCGATCTGGACGATTGACGACACTGACCCCATCAAATCTCGATGATATCTTTTCTGCTGAGAGCTCATCTCCTCGATACACTGACCAAGCAATAGCTGCTGGTGTTTTTTCTCCAACTCATAAGTCCGCTGTGCTTAATCAATTTCAGCAACAGCAGAACATGCTATCACCTATAAATACAAATTTTTCTCCTAAAAATATTGAGCACCCTCTCTTGCAGGCTTCTCTATCCGGTAGGATGTCTCCTCGAAATGTCGAACCTATCTCACCGATGAGCTCTCGGGTTTCAATGTTAGCTCAACGGGAGAAGCAGCAAGAATTTCGCAGCCTAAGCTCTAGGGAGCTTGGCTCCAGCTCGGCTGCCGTTGTTGGTTCCCCAGTTAATTCATGGTCAAAATGGGGATCCTCCAATGGGAAGCCAGACTGGGCTGTCAATGCCGATGGGCTAGGCAAGCATGGCAGGTCCTCATTTGAGCTCGGTAACAGAGACGAGCCTGTTTTATCATGGGTTCAATCCCTTGTAAAAGAATCTCCCACCGAGATCAAAGAAAAAATAACTGCACCGGTCTCGGGTGAGGGTTCTAGCATGAACTTGGATCCAGTCGATAATGCTGCATTAGGTGCCTGGCTCGAGCAAATGCAGCTTGATCAACTTGTGGCTCAGCAAAACTGAAACCAGTTTAGTTGAGCCCTCCTGAGGTAGAGAGACAACAAAAATGGTTTTGGTAAATAACATTCGATTTTTTCCCCGGATTATCGGATTTTCTTGGTGATTGAATGAAGGAAAAGGTAAAGCAGAAAAGAAGGTGAAGTCAAAGAGATGGAGGTTAGTTTTACAATGGAAACTTCAATTTTCACCATTTATTATCATTATTATTACAGCAAAACAGTTAGAAGAGGTTGGGGATAATCTGTCTTGATGTTTTAAAGAAATTATGAGCAGGTTCATGTGGAATTTCTTCAAATATTTCTAAATTTGATTCCCATTACCTGCTTTTTCAGTATGTATGATCCGTTGATGATGATGATGTAACATTCAACTAAAATTTTTATTTGCTTAATTCCTATTCCTAAAAGTTTCCTCGTATCTCCTCCTTAACGTGTGCCATTGTTGATCAATCTTTTTCTTTCTTATGACTTCTTACTAGGAATTTTTTTTATTAAATTAATCTATTTTCAAGGTTTTCATTTTTCCGTTAATTTTAAAAATTCGTTTTAAAGTTAAATAAATTTTTTGATTGAATCAAGTGCTAAACTCAAAAGAAAGATGAAAATTATATTCATTTGATGTAATTTGGCCTTAAAACAATCTTTAAAATAGAATGTTTTATTAATTATAGTATATAATTATACCTAAAAGTATATAGAATAATAAAAAATTACATTCAACAAAAAAAAAAACATTAAGATACGAAATAAAAAAGCTGTTCAAATGCAAAACTTACATCAAACCTCTTATTTTTCTTTTGGTTGGTGTGGAACTAGTGCTCTAGTTGACCAAGTATTGGAACATGTTTGGCCTTTGCCCAAAGAGTAAAATATAAAAATTCGTTTAAACCCGATTCATTTACACCCCTACATTTATATCTATTCATGAGCTATAAATAAATATAGCTCTATTCGTTTAAACTCGATACAAATACGATATTATAAATTTAAATGAATATGAATTGAACACAAACACATAAAAATAAGCAAATGAACATGAATATAGCTCTATTCGTTTAAACTCGATTCATTTACACCTTTATATTTATATCTATAAATTTAGCTAAAAATGGGATTTATGGGTCCATTTGTATGTCACTCTTGTTTCTGCAGCAGTTAGAATTGACTGTATTAGACAACTGTGATCGATTAACTGGTGTATAAATATTGATGAATGATCATTTTTTGCATGTTGTCAATTTAATGCTTTCCTTTCCTTTATTCCAGGCAGTTAGTTTTGTTGTCATTTTGCCGCTGTCCAAGAACACTTATAGAAGGATCAATAGGGTGGGTTTAGAGTTATTGTTGCTGGAAATAATATGGCTTGTTGATTGGTGAGCTGAAGTTAAGGTATTAGTTGTTCCTTTTATTTCCCTTTGTTTATATCATATGTTTTTGAATCATTGATTCCAAACCTTTTCCGAAGTTTCAAGGCCAAATTTGATGATCAAATGCCTAAATGCTTTGTACTTCCATTTCGGATTCTAAGCAATATTTACAGAGACAATGGTACCGGAAAACGAGTTGGTCGGTGCAGGGTCAAAGATGAAAGCTTGATGCGCAAGTAGTATTTTTGGGGTCCATAGGCTTAAAGATCAGTTCATTGTGGAGTCGTTCAATAGTTATGCAAGTAGTCCCCTGAAAGTTTTGATCTCTGAGATTTTGTATTTGCAGATTAAAATGTTCGCGGATCAGGAATGCATCAATTTAATGGGTACTAACATCGAATCTCCATTACTAAGGACACCTAGTTTTCACTCTTAGAATTGCATAGATAATGTGTATTGTTCAATCCTACTTGTTTTCAACGGTTTTCTTGCCTTGATATCTTAAACTTTTTCAGGTAAGGAACATGCCCCCCTCATATCCAATCATAGAAGCGATATCGATTGGTTAGTCGGATGGGTTTTGGCTCAGGTTCATAATTAATCTATTCCAACTTTTTCATTCTTTTTTCTCTTTAAAATTTTTCTTTGGCTAAGATACAATTAAATTCGCTTTTGACAGTTATCGGGTTGTCTTGGCAGTGTATTAGCTGTTATGAAGAAATCATTGAACCACTCATTTGGTGTTCGATATCGTTGGTCGTTTATCTTCCAGGATACAACAACTAGATTATCAACTACAGTAGCACAACAGTAGAGATCACAAACTATCATGGCCTTCGACTATCACCGGAAAATTAAGAAGAGAATATTTTTTCAAGAAAATAAAAGTTCTTGAATTTTGAGATGTGAATTATAATCTATTCTTATCATAATGCTTGAAGTAGTTCATTGCATTAAAATTTTCAACTCTATGTAACTTTTTGCATTTGTTTGATTCGTGATATGTAGGACAAGTTGTTGGACAAACATATGAGAATACTTTCAGCGACCAACCGTCGCATGACATCGGTCGGCCGATTCAGTCACTTTTGGTGAGATTCTTTCCATGTCAAATTAACCCAATTTTTGTTTTGAAGCTAAACTCAGAGTCCTAAAATGTATTGTTGACAGGTTATGGCGAGTTAGGCATGAGTTGTGGGATATGGGATAGTTAAGTTAGTTCAATGGTGTTCGGTTTTGTCATCATGGAAGGGCATTGCGTTTTCTGCAGTAGGGTTGGCCATAGTTACCATGCTCATGCAGATCTTGATTCTCTTCTCTCAGTCGGACCGTTCAAGCCCTGTTGAGGTTGCTTCTCGAAACCCTCAGAATTTGGACTCTGTACAGAAGCCATTACTGGCGTAAACCATTCTGTAAATTATCTTCTTATATTCGACACAAAGGCGAATCTACAGGGACAAGTAAACACCTTGGCCCTTCACTTCATTCAAACACTTAAATATACTAGTTATTATTTTAAATTATTATTTTTCTAATATTTTTCATATTCGTTTTATGATCTATAAAGAAAATTTATAATTATTATTCTCATCATCTATAAAATTTAAATTTAAAGAATATAAAATATTTTATCACTCCTCTCAAATCATGTTAATAAAAATAAATTATAAATCTAATATTTTTATCTAAATTTCCTCAACTATTAAGGGAAATTCTGAATTTTAAAGAATAACTCATTTCTTAACAACATACGTACACTGATTTTACCGAGATTTCTACATAAGATGTAAAGGCCATTAACGGTTTTTTACAAGAATCCCTTCGTACTTTTAATAATAATCATAAAAAAAAGTCTAATAAAAATATTAGTAATTATCAAAATAATGATAAATTTTAGGTCCTAAAATGTTTAATATTCTAATTCAAGTTTTTATTTGACTTTATTATAATGATTATTTTTAATTATATATAGATTCAATTTTTATTTAATGTCGTGTTTTAATCTTGTATGTATTTATAATTATTGAATGTATTGATTATAATTGTCTTTGTAATAGTAATTGTTATTTTAATTTCATATATGTATTTGTTTTAAGCCTTAAGAAAGAAAATTATTCAGTGTGATGAGCCTTTTCTTCCACCATTAACACCCTTCAGTCATCTTGAACTCTTGTTCTCTTCTTTCTCTCTTTTAATCTATAAAAACAATCCCCAAACTGTTCATAATTTTTAGTATCCATTTTGCATGAAACTCTTAATATCTTAGTTCAATAATAATTTTTAGAGCCGTGGATACAATTTTTTGAAAAAAAAAATTATATTATCGATTATCTTTATATTCATGAATTTCTTGAATATTGATTATAAATTTAATATTTTTGTTTAAAAATTATTATTACTAGTTATTTATATTAATTTTGAGTTTAACGTATTACATTTTCAAAGTAACAAATCATATTTAAGTTGCTTTTATTTTTAAGAAAAAAGATACTAATTATATATTAACTTTATGAAAACTTTCGTTTGCATAAGGAACCAGTTAATTACTGAAAATTATTTGATGTACTTTCTCTACTATAATTTTTTTTGTAATAATATTACATATAATCATGTTACAGTTATACATTAATTATTGATTTTTAATATATTTTTTTCAAAATTTGATCCATAATAAAAAATTGATAATTTTGTCCATAAAGGATTATGTATTCTATAAATGTCAAGACAAATCATAAATTATTCAAGTTCAATTCGGCCAATAGTCGATGAAATGAATTTGATTCGAGTTCAAATTTGATTCGAGTTCTTAACAAGAGTCTAGACGAATTATTTGGTGCTTGAATCAAAAAATAATATATTAACATTTTAATTTTTAGATTAAATTATTAGTAATATTAACATTTATTTGTTGTTTTTTAAAAAGAAATGTAGTAAAATGTTTTCATGTATTTAAGGTTAAAGTTTAAGCTTCAACCTAGTTAAGTCTTAGAATGTATCGAGTTCATTTTTATAAACTTGAATTGAGTTTTATTTTTTTATTTTGAGTTCGAATCGAACAATTAATAATTTTGAGCTTATGACGTTTTAAGTTAAAATTAAACTTAACTTTAATTTTTTAATTGAAAATGAACACAATAATACTCAAATTCAATTCATCTCATTTATAATGTCACGGTGCCTCCCCTCACAACTTTTATGGTCCAATAACTTTCTAAAATTCTTACAAATCTAAATATTAATTAATCCAATTTTTATCCTTCAAATTTGAGATTCAGTAGATTCTTATCTTTAAATTGTATAAGTAATCCTTTTTATGATTTTGTCATGAGACTATTAATTTAAATATAATATATTGGTGTGTGAGGATGATAGTGTAAGCAGCTTTGTTGAGAGAAAGGGATGGGCAAAACATTGTGGAACACAAAGCTGCAGCATCCATTCCTACCTCCCCTTACCCTATATATATATATATATATATCAACTATAGCATGAATCGACATTTCAATCAGAAATTCACCATTTCTCTGTCCCTCTCACCCAAACACCTTTCAACTACTGTATTTTATTTCCTTTTCTTCTCTTCTTCCAAACACTAGAGTAATTTGCTGATTCTTTATTTACAGATAGATCGAGAAGAACGATTAGAGCAGTAGGTCCTTTAAAAAATTTAATTATTATATATATTAGATATTTTTTATTAATAATTTATTCTCATATTATAAAATTTTAAAAATTTACATCCACCTATATAAAATGACATGTTTATAATAACGAAGCCCACAAACCATATTCAACTATATTCCTTTTCCGTCATTAAAGAGGAATTGGGGGTGGGGACAAGATTGAATGGATTTTGGCCTTCTCTTTTATTTCAGCACAGTTGTTGATATAAATACATGAATAATCCGTCCATGAAAGCTACAACACAGAGGTTTACCATTAATGTGTGTTGTTACTTGCATAATAATAACTGGGCCAACAGTATTAACCATATACTATTACATTTATCAACTTTCACTTTGCCGCCCACACAAGTTCCTATTGCCCCATTCTTCTTAACTCTCTCCATGCCTATCACTGTTCTTTTCTTTTTTCTTTTTATTTTTCTGCATTCTCATTTGTCATTACTTGCATTCCGCAGTATTTTTAGTCCATTAAATCAAAATAGTATCTTGTAATAATAATCTCCAAAAGTAGTAAATGGTATTAGGTGAGGCACACATAGGCAGTCATGGGGTACCTAAAATAATTATTACATAACCTAAACATTCTCCATTGTCTGTACTGTTTACTTCTTCTTACCAAGCAGCCCATTTGACAAACACATTGCCAATATTATCAAATATTTTATTAGGGATTTAATTATATTATATATATATATATATATATATATATATATATATATATATTTCTTTATGTTTACTTTTTTGTTCAGCTCTAACTTTATAGAAATTATTGTACTTTGTTTTAATTGAAAAAATATTAGTGTCCTTGTTGTCGTAACCGTGTGAGAATAAGCAAAGCAGTGATGGAGGGATATAATTTTACAGTCCTCCCTTCTAACAATAGAAAGATTGTCTTTTTCCTACAATTTTCTAGCTTCCTAGACGTCACGTGGAATTTTAGAGAAAAGCATTTTGGTCATGGATTTGATATTTTTAAGGAACTCCTTTTGATGGGATAATAGTTTGGGAAAAATGAATGGTATATGGTGTTGAAGAAACTATATTAAAAAATATGATGGAATGAATAGTGCAAGAGAGAAAAAGACTATATTATCTAATATATTTAGGAAGACATCTAGAAGATACGACGTCTTCTCATTTTGATATAGTCTAAACGCTAATCTTAGCAGAGTATCAACCCAAAAGATATTGTATCATTCAGACGTCTTCTAGAAAATGTTATGTGATTTGATCGTCCCTTATACACTGTTCATTTCATCTTAATTTGAGAAAATAATTTCTCCTACATTTCATATGAACCATTTTCTTCATCACATCATCATATAAGGAATTTTGCTCATTTTGAGCTTGTTAGATCCACTTTTATTACATCACTCTACACAACTACATGTGAAAGTGTTATCATTTGTACTCTTATAAAGGTCATGGGTTGCAAAATATCAAGTTATTGAAAGCTTAATAAGAGGTGAGAGAATTTTTTTTATAATTTCTTTTGGTTTTTTAAATACATATATAATTAATTTATATATCGAAACACGTTCTTCAAATAAAATTATAATATTCTTAAGACATCCATCTTTTATCTTTGTAAGTTAAGGCACAAACAAAGGTCTTGTTCCCCTAAACAGTGAAAAAAAAAAGCAAATGGAATTTTTATTTTTTTATTATGGAGTAACAAATGGTCATGCCTCACAAAATACATTGGGACGCAAACTTTACTTAATTGTTTATTATAAATTTTCCTCAATAGCCCATTGGGGTAGGCTAGGTTCTCTGAAAGAAGCAAATTGTTTGCTATTTAATATGAATGTATGATTATGTGTAAACAATATTCTCTTATTTATGGATGGAAAAAATATCAAAATAATATAGATATTATATTAAATTAAAAAAATATGAACACAAAATTGCTTATATAACAGTAATTATGGATTATAAGTAAAAAGCAGTTAATGCAAAGAATTATTAATAATAATAACAATAAACTCAATATAATACAATACAATACAATATAATTAATGGTTATTATAAAATCAGTATAATACAGTACACAATCGCTGAAAATGTCACTGCTTCTTTGTTTTTGAAAGAGTAACTCACTGCTTCAAAAACGCGAGAAGGGATATAATAAGAGAGAACGTAACGGCAACACCGGATACCGGCAGCGAGAAGGCATATCCGGTGTCCATTGACGGTGCAGGCGCCATTGCACTGTCCTGAGCTGATACAGTGCCGGCTACCAAGACCACAACGGCAACAAAGACAATCATAATTGCTTTAGAGAAGAAGATTTTCGTCATTTCTGAAAACTAACAAAGAAAGAATACAAATTTTTTAGAAGCAAAAAAGTAGAGCTACTCGGATTTTGTATGCAATTTGACATTTAAGGGTGTGAGGTTTCACATATATTAATAAGAATCATAAATGAAGTGGAGCCAGCTTCCGGACGAGAGGGCTTTGAACAGCTCAAAGTTGTGGGCGGTAGGTGCTTGATGAAATGGCTGAAAGAAATGGACGGCGGCCAGTTGGATGCAGACACGTAGCAAATGTTAGGGTTGTTTCAAGGTTTTGAAAAGCTTAATGTCGGTTAGGATGTTCTCTTTGTAAGAATGTGAAACCTTACCCAACGCCATGTGCCGTGTGCAGCATTTGTACACCATGGCAGCTACGCCCCCTAACCCTTCTTTTCAGTTCTCTTTTCCTTAATTTATTATATGGGTGCACGAAAGAAAAGAAAAAGGAAATTGAAGCACGTTATCGAAACGTGGTTCAGGTATTGAATTGGTTGTAAATTT